TATTGTATTTATTATATTATATTATATTATATTATGTATTTATTGTATTATATTGTATAAATATATAACCATAATAATAATTCTTATTGTAGATCTTGTGGCACAGACCTGCAGTAAACAACATCCATCACTAGAGGGCAGTGCCCCCTGTGTTTCTAATGACCCAGAGTCACCCCCCCTCACCCCGCGCTCCTCACCCCGCACCCCCCCGTGGAGAGTGCATGCCCATAGTGCCCATAGTGCCCATCGTGCCCATAGTGCCCATAGTGTTGTGTTTGGCTGTGGTGATAATCTGTGTTTTCTAATCGCTCTGGCTCCTTCTCGCTCACGTCCACAAATCATCTAAAAATAACTCACACTTTACACTTAATGAGTCACCCTCAGGTCACCCGCCGCCCAGAGCCGCCCACAACTGTTAAAACCACTTCAAAACATCATAAAAAATAAAAATAATAGTTTGTTTGTATTTTGGAGTCGTAAAAAATTTATGTGAAATGCTTCTAAAACTCAGCTAAAAAGTAAATTGTAACTAGTACTTTTTTTACTTTCACTTTAAACACTAGATGAACTTTTGCTGATTGTTTATCGGGGCCCAAAGATGAGCCGGAGTTTCTCCTCTTTGACCCTCTGAAGTTTATTTGGAGTGATTCATGTTTGAAGAATCTTTAATCTTTTATTTTCAAGACGAACGTTTTGTCGCTCTCTTCGTTTTCAGCTCCACTCGTCCACAGTCGGGGTTAGAGACTCACAGGTCGTGACGTCAAAGTGAATCCTCGTGAAGCACTGAAGCGTTCGATCCATTTGCTCGACTCTTGAGCCGATGCTTCGAGGTGCTTCATTCGCTCCACTGCACCATCAAGTGGACAAAAAGTGTATAACAGGCAGATCAATCATGATCATCGAGGTTCTGACGGAAAGATTTATACAGAATAAATGAACGATTAAATATTTGAATGTGAATTTATGAACATGGAGTCTGTGTTCATGATATAATGGTCGGGTTAAAAGAAAAAGTAAGCACTTCACCTGAATTTTTTTTTATTTTTATTTTTTTTACAATATTTATTTTAGAGCAGGGAAACACTGTGTTATTAAATGTTTGTATTTAGTAATATTTGTTTATTTACTATAAACCTAATTAGGAGATATCAGCTCAAAATGTTCCCAAACAGGGGAAAATATTTTTTTTCTTGCGGCTCCATTGCAAAAAAATAAATAAATAAATTTAAAAAAATGTACCAAACTCACAATCACCTAAAACCACAAAATGTTTTGGGGGAGTCCGTTGCGTTTCACTGGCCCTTATGTTTCGAATCTTGCGCCATTAGTAAAACATTTACACGTCTTTAAAAATGACCTTCAGTTTACATTTAAAAGCAGAAAGAGAAATGAAGGAGTCCAGTTGAAGTGAGCTTTGAGTCAGATTCCAATCATTAGCAGCGGCGCATCGGAATGACATGAGTAGGGGTGTGCCGAAATATTGAAATATCGATATATCGTATCGTTTAATGTGATAATACAGTATCGATATCGTGAGCTGCTGTATCGATATATCACCAAGAGTCTTTTTTTGGTGTGTTTTACTAAATTATTTTGTCACAGCTACAGTTTTGTTAATTGTTTAGAGGAAGGAAACTTGTTTATGCGACACATTTGACATTTTCACTGTTTTGATGAGTAAAATGTTTGTGTTTCATATGAAGTGGTTCAACAAAGACTTTAGTGTCACAGCCACGATTTAGACATTATTTTTTACTGGACCGTATCGAACTGATTTGAAATATATCATATTGAATTATATCAAATCGTAAGCTCACTGTATCGAGATATGTATCGTATCAGCAAATTCTGAACGATACCCAGCCCTAAACATGAGGCCAAGAGACGACCTGGACTTAGGAACTTTCAGTTTGATGAGCTGTGAGGACCGAGCGTTGTATCTGGAGGGAGACTCTTGTCCGAGCAGCTGACTTAGACAGGGAGGTGTGAGCCCTGGCATGGTTTTATAGACAAACATAAGCCAGTGCATATTTGAGTCTACAGCAGACAGTGATGTGTCCTAAACGGGGCAATTGTAACAAAACGGATCACACAATGATACTACTGATAATGTTACTTTTGGAAGCATGTCGATAAATGAAGTCACCATAGTCAAACTGTGGAAGAATGTACATCTCAACAATGGCACGTTTATCTGCAGATACAAGGAACTGACCCTATACCAGACTCATTACGAAAAGGAAACCGGATTGCTAAACTCAAACAATGTGAAACTTATTGGATCTTTAAATTGCAGGCAACAAAATATCCTGGGCTTAATGATGATTTGGACTTCTCTGTGTTTTTATAACTGCATGGCATTTTTTATACTGCATGGTATATTTTGCATATATTTTATTATTTTATTAAATTTTTTTTGTAAATAATTCGTTTTTATATTCTCTATGACACAGGTGTCAAACATGCGGCCCGGGGGCCAGATCCGGCCCTCCAAGACCTTTAATGTGGCCCTCGGCTGATTTTCTACTAAAATATTTTAATTATATTTTCTATTTAAATATTGGTAATTTTCTGTGGTGTTTATCACAGCAGCGTCTCCAGCGTCTCTGTACGTGGCCCCTCCCACCAGAGCAGCACAATGAAGACTTGTCTCTTTCCAAACGCTCTTAAAGGACGATCGTTTTGACTGTTGACCGTGACACCCTCATCAGAAAAATGTCCAACATGAGA